GTAAAATTATCTAGCAAAATAAAATTTTCTAAAATAAAGGGGAAAAGCGAAAGCAAATGGCAGAATATTGCTATTTATTGAAGTTTAATGATTGTTACAAGGAGATTCATCGTATTAATCATTCTAAATTGATCCATATTTGAAAATTTCGGTAATAAACCTACTCCTCACTTATCAACTATCTCATTATCTGGCATTTTGCATTTATGACAATAGTAAGAAATCTACTGTCTATTTTGCGCACTAACAACATACATCTGACAGTAATGAAGCCAAAGTGTGAGGCAAGAGGAACACTGGCTTTGATTGTTTGGGCTGTGTGTCATCGTGGCTGGGCATGATTCTCAGTGGTTTAGCAGTTATATAATAATACAGTTTGGCAGTAATGTAATGATGTAGTCATCCTCCATTTTGTGACCTGATGTGGTCATCCTTCATTTTCATGTAACACTGATTTTCACATAAAACTAGGTCTCTGGAACCTAACTATGGCAATATGTAAGGGTGTGGGATTTTTGTTGTTGTTGTTGTTTTTATTTAGCATTCATTTCAAAATTTTAAACACAGTGTCAGGCCAAATCACCAGTCTATACACTGAATTCAATCCCCAAGATGTCTTGGGATTGAAGACTACTGTGGAAAGGAACAGAGAGAGATTTAGGATGAAGGTGTTCTAAAGCCATCCCTGTGAAGTTACTTTCGAGGCCTAGGTGGCATAATAGTTAAATGTGAAATTGCTAACTGAAAGTCTGGCATTTCCCAATGACCCAGTGGCTCTGTGGGAGACTGACCTGGTGATCTGCTTTTGTAAAGATTACAGCCTAGGAAATCCTATGGGACAGTTCTACTCTGTCCTATAGGGTAGTAATGAGTCAAAATAGACTTGACAGTATACATCAACAACAACAACTTTATTTCATCTGGAAGGAAAATGGGATAGTAGCTATGGCAGGTCCATGGCTCCCCGACCATAATGTCTGTCTGATATGACCACATTGATGTGAGCCAGATTCAGCCAGACCGAAACCTCTCTGGTGCAATCAAAGAAAACCCATAGAGCAATTGAGCTTTGGCAGAACATCCATTTATATACTGCATGTAGGCCACATTCCCAAGGAAACCCCCCTTCCAACTGATTGGCTGCTCTCATTAGATCACAAAATGGAGGATAATTACATAATATCTGCCAAACAACAGAGAATCATGGCATAGCCAAGGGTACACTTAACATAAATTATCACAACCCACTTGGCTAACAACAAATGTATGGTGATTGAATGAATAGAACAGCAGCCATCTTGCCTTGCCCATATCCATTCTGCTGCAGCCACCCTATTACCATCCTCTGAATGCGATGTACTCCTTCACATCTTCATGCCTTTGCACATGCTGTTTCCTCTGCTAACCCAGTTGCTATTGAGTCCGTTCTGACTCATGGCAGCCCCATTTGTATCAGAGTAGAACTGTGCTCCATTGGATTTTCAATGGATGACTTTTCAGAAGCAGGCTTCCAAGACGTTATTCCAATGCACCTCTGGGTAGACTTGAACCTGCAACCTTTTTGTTAGCAGCTGAGTGCATTAAAAGTTTGCAACACCAGGGACCCCTGCCTTTTCTTCAGCGCTGCTTTTGCAAAATTCTTTCTCATCTTTTAAAATCTAGTACAAACATCGTATCCTCTGTGAAGCATTCCTCAAGGGCAAGATGTTGCCTCCTCCATCTCTATGTCCCCAGATTTGGCACAGAGTCAAAGTTGACTAAATGTGTATTGAATGAGCAAGTGAATTAACAGAAAATATAGAGCCAATATCCCATAATGAATAAAGGCATGTGCTCTACAGTCTGAAAAACCTGGATTCATAGCCTATAAGTTAACACACATCTGTGTGATCTTGCTTAGATGATAGCACAATTCTGAGACCATTTTCCTTAGTTATGAGGAACCCTGCTTCAAAGAGTTCTTAAGAGAATAAAATGACATACTCTATGTAAAGTTTTTGGGACACAAGCCAGCAAAGGCCTCCAGCCCATTGCCTGATCTGCAGATTTTGGATTCGCCAACCCATTCAGTCCATGAGCCAGCAGAGACCTCCAGCCTGTTTATCACCTAACCCATGGATTTGGGACTTACCCACCCCCACAACCGTGTGAGCCATTTCCTTGAAGTAAATTTTTCTGTATATTTCTACCTGTCTATATATGTTTCTCACCACTTTGTCAGTTTGTCACATTGTGGTGGCTTTCACCTTGCTGTGATTCTGGAAGATATGCCATCGGAATTTCAAATACCAGCAGGGTCACACACGGTGGACAGGTTTCAACGGAGCTTCCAGACTAAGACAGACTAGGAAGAAGGACACAGCCAATTCCACTGCTGAAAAAATTGGCCATTGAAAATGTTATGAATAGCAGTGAAACATTGTTAAATATAGTGCTGGAAGATGAACCACTCAGGTTATAAGGCATTCAAAATACGACTCAGGAAGAGCTGCCTTCAAGAACAGTGAGAATGGTTGCACAAGTTGAAGAATGTAATCAATGTCACTAAATGGTACATGCAGAAAC